CCTAGGAATTCCTAGGAATTCCTAGGAATTCCCAGAAAACTGGGAATTCAGTTCATAAGGGTGACTGGTCTTGACCCAATTGGTTTAACCCTCAAACTCCCAAAAGTGATTGACAGGAACCTTCTCCCCATAACATCCATATATTATTCAGCAAACAGGTGATGAGGACACTCAAACTTATCAGGTAAAAGCTGCTATCTTGATCTAGTGCCATGATCTCATAACGAATTTACAAGGAAATGTGAGGCAGCCAGAGGAGGGAATTAACAATCTGATCTTGGGAATTAAAGAGTTAAAAATTATTTTATGCTGATGCTTGTGGATAATTTTAAAAACTACTTCTACAAACATTGTTTAGTGAAACACTCCAACTCAACCTCAGTACTCCAACTTAAACTAATTTTACTATCCCTTAGTTCAAATTTATCCTGACAATTCTACCTTTAACAAACAACCTTGATAGATAAATGCTTATGTGTCAAAACAAAGGTGATCAACATGTTCCAATCTTTAATTGCAATTAATATGAATGTGATACCCTTTGTTGAAACAAATACATTTAGCTAAACTTCCTACACTTAATGTTCCTATCAAAAGGCTTTTATAAATCAAACTAAATGTACAAAAGTGGTCATTGATTGTATTAAAATGGTTAAAAAACATGATTCTTAAATAACTATAAACAGGATAATTGAAATTCAATGCCTGAACCCTGATACCTTGAACCCCAGCTAAGTTGGACCATTTTCTTTCCCATGGGAATTCAAGTTAGCAAGGTTCTATTGTAAACTGAAAATAGCATCTTCAGGAGCCAACACAGATCTGAACCACAAACCAATTTGCTTATTTCATAGTCTGCTATTTGCACTTGTCCTTCATTGAACCTGTCGTTTTTTGGCTATTTATTGTGTTTGCCATGGCAAAAAAAATAACATGTTACTTGATACATATTATGATTTAGACAGAAAAGAATAAGTTCTGCTGTTTGAAACCAAGATGACAGATTTGAGGGTAAACTCGCTTTCCTTCAGGGGGTGAACTCTTAGAAGGTGGTAGGGGAAAACTTGCATTGGGTGAAACCTTCAGGTACCTCTAAGATTGACAAGGTTCTAAACTGCTTGATCAGAGACAAAGAGACTAAGGTCATAAGAGGAAACGAAACAACTGCCAACTTCAGAAAGATCTTGAACATTAAGCAAATTCTCCTTGTCAGGGTTTTAACCATTTATCACCTTGAAGTGAAAACATGTAATTTCACTATATGATTCCAATAATATGTTGTCTCGCAAGCAAGCCAAGAGAACCAACAAGCTAATTGGCTACATGACAATTTCTGCTTTGCCTAGTACACAGGAAATATTGGCAGTCAGTAGGAAGAATTACTGATTGGATCTAGGGAGTTTAAGGTTTTAAACACCACTGTGCATATGTTAACTTTCCTTGGGCATCCTCTCCAGGGAGATATTAGGGCCCAAGAGAACAGGCTGAACGAAAATTAAAGCTTCTTTAAGGAAAAGAGCTTATGAATTGGTGTGTGCATTTTTACAACGAATAGATTGGGTCACTCAACCAACCTTACTCCTGCATTTGTATTGTACATGAGGTATATAAGAACAATGAATGCCTCTCCACTTTCATTTATGATATTGAAATGTTTAATATTTCACTATGTGAAGAGCTGGTTATAGTCTTGAATCACAATAACAATCCAAAGAGGGTGTGACAAGCAGCCATACTGTAACTCAGAAATCCTGTATGCAAATTTGTGCCAACAAATTCACCACAGCAATAATTTTGGGGAAAAAATTCTGCATGTATGTTTATGAAACTTCCATACAAAGAACTCTTCAACCCTTTCACTCCCAAGCTCAAAGTGATAATTAATTCTCCCCTCGAGCGGCTACACATCTCCTTGTAACTTAGTAACAAGAATTTAATGTTAGTTTAGGATTAACACTTCTACCTCAGAAGACTCTGGATTATCTGTAAACTTTTAAAGCTGATTGCATTAAGCGTAGACTCCATGTAAATATATTTTAAAATATATCTTATTAGATGTTTTGGTATGTAGTATCGCTGAATATTTTTGCGAGTTATGCCGTATTTTGACTAGACTCTAGGGTGTCAAAACACAAACAACGAGCGCTACTCCTCCTCCATCACTTACTTTACCTTATCTCTTTATTTATTATAATCATGTTTTTTTTTTTCGCAATTCTTTAAGCTACTTTCTTTCGAGGGTTTTGAGGTGATATCAAATCAATTAGTAATCTTGGAAATATAATTTGACAACGGAAGTTTCCGGATGAAATCAAATATTTACCGTGACTTCACGATACTAGCGGAAAGGCGTTAAATGACACTCCTTGGAGTCTTTGCCTTACTACTGCAATGAAATGGTAGCCCTCCTCCTCCACCACTTACTTTTCCAATTTCACAACCAATTTGGCAATACAGTCCACTAGATGGCTGAAAAAATTTATCACAAGAGATCTCCACAAAGTTAAGCTTAACAAATCACATTAAAGTAACACCGTAATTTAAATATAAAACTTAAATAGCACTGAAATTGCAACAAACTCACCTTTTCCACACGCCTCTGAGTATAAATCTTTCCCTCCGCAAACTGGAATTTTTGGATCGTTTTGATCACTACACGTTACCACAAGCACATGTCCACTTACTCCTCGCCTGTCCTTGCAAGGACAAACTACCGTTTGGTTACGGCATTGCGATCTCTGTTCCCATTGTTCCGATACAGCAGAGGTAAATTCCACTCCGCAAAAAACAAAAAGTAGTAGAAGTTCCTTCGCAATCATAGATTAGTTCACTTATCTGGATCTCATCAAAACCTCTCGGAAATACTGGAAAGAGTTAAATAGATTCCCTCCTGGGCCTGCTCGAATTTCGAAATGGTTGGAGATAAATACTTGCGTCTCGTAGAGAAATCTTGCTAAAAATTCCAAAATACACTTTCCTCTTTGGGATCTGAAGAAAAATGTTGACAACGGTGGTCGTAGAAGATAATTAAGCACAAGTTTTCATGCACGTTTATTAAATACTCTTCTGCAGGGGCCTGGAACCAGAGTAAATACTTAGAACTGATCAGGCAGATGGCAATCTCAAAACCAGAACGTGACTTGAAAAATTCATCGAGGTAAATTGAACTGGGAAAATTAAAATACTTTCACCTGCTTGTCCGCACTTTTAAAGAGATCAGCGATACGACTTGTGGAATAAGCGACACAAACACAGCGATACGACTTGTGGAATGAGCGACACAAAACAGAACTTACGAAGTATCGAAGAAGTTCGTTTAATTGTCTTAGGCGGGACCGGAACCTGTCTAATTTTGTAAGAGGGTGTGTGTGTGTGTGTGAGTGACCATTTGAAGAGCTCTGAAATGAGTGTCCGAAGCATGGTATTTGTCGAGGTCTCTGCTTCCACGAGCTTTTAAGAGCCTTATAGGAATATTGACAGGAGGAGTAAAAAGGTTTCTGTTGATGGGAATGACTCCCCCGCGAACTTGTAAGACCAACAACGTAGCTGAAAATGACGTAAGCGATGCTGTTTTTTTTTACCATTCGAAAACAAAACTTTTAGTATGTTCAATTTCATTCGCATTCAATTTTCTTAATATTCAGAATCGAGAATGGTCGATTTTAATTGTAAACATACGACATTGGAACTTCTGGTTTTTTGTCTGGTTTTTTTTTTGCTTGTTTGTTTTTTTTTTAAGGTGATTTTTCGTCTCCTGCTAATGTGTACTTTGAGTTTCAATATCTTCAATTTGCTCTTTTTCAGTTTTTATAGATTTTGTTCATATTTTTCTTTTCGGCTGTCGGTTAATCTTTTGTTTTGAAATGTACCAATTGCTGCCCTATTTTAATCAATGATCGCATGACGCCAATTCATGACGCCAATTCATGCCGCCCGTCTGTCGGAAGCAACCCAACGCTATTTGCGTATTCAGAAGAAGAGTACCTCAAAACTTTTCGTTTTTGAAAACACGCTTGTTTTGAGAGACAGGCCCAGCAACCAGCGTGCAAATTCCCACCACACGAAGCTTCTTCACGGGCTCTAAACTCAACCGACCATGCTAGGATCTGCTGAGATCCTAGGCAAAGTATATCTTGACTCGGAAGTTGGGAAGTCTCGAAGAGCTGGATAGTTCTAAAGTGAGGTAATAAACCGTAATCAACAACTAAAGAGGGCGTTTAATAACGAATTCCACCCCCATTTCAGAATTTGTGCGTCAACGACGGATTCATTTTTTTCCTTGATGTTTCGAGACATTTGATCATTAAAAATAATAATGGGGTGGTAACTTAAGATCAAAAATAAATAAAGAAAGAAATTAGTAAATTGAGAAGGTGACCTCAGCTTTCAAAACCAAATAGCGTTGAATACATGAAAGGAATTATTTTCATTGATCAGCTGTCGTATTTCGCTTTTAAAACTGAGAAAGAGATTGGGGAAGTCGACCCTATTATTATTTTCAGCTTTGTTAAGGCCACGATTTTCATTTTCCCACGAGATTGACCCAAGTTTAAGAGTTATGAAGGAGTGCCTTGGATAAAAATAAATTCTAATTTGACAAGACACAACCTTGAATGCAAATTCTTCTAGAATCGTGATGCTATCATGCAAATTTAACTTGGAATTTAAAGTGTGCTGAGACAATCGCGGGAAGGCGTATAGCAAGAACACGAGAAACAAGCTCGACGTTTTTACCATATTGAGTCCTATAAACATCTTTTATTAGACACCCAGCTTAGTTTCGATAGCGAAATATAACGAATACGTGAGACAAAGTTGAGCAACAAGGAAATCATGTAGGAGTAGGCACAGGGCAGCGGGCGTATATTGATCTATATTGAATTCTGGTAGCACACGGAGTATGGAGAGCTTCTACCCAAAAGAGTGGTAGAGATGTTGAACGTATTCGAAATTGATCGATAACTGTCAATGAAAAACCCTGAGAGGAAGCTTAATCCACAGGTGAAATGTGGCTATTTATAGAAAACAATTAAAAAAATAGATGCACAAAAAATACCGTTAAGAATTTTGTAATTATATCGTTTAGAGTTAGAGGAATATAACTCTGTATTCGATAGTTTACATGAGTTTTGTGTTCTTCTTGTTTGCCTAGGACAGCGGCCAGCAAAAAAGCGGTTGCTGGGGCGAAAAAACGGCGGACGTCAGGCAGCATCCACAATCACCATTTATCTGGCCGCCTACTCTTTCGCACGTCGTTACTATTTCCCTGGAACATTTTAAAGTGGGTAAACTGTACCAGTCTTGGCTGTTCGCGATTGTTCGGACCGCTTTGATCTTGTATCCTGAGAAATGTACCGAGCCTGAGTAATGTAGTGTATTTCTTGTAATTCTAATAAACATACAGGGCATTGTTTTGTTATTCAAGACATGTCTGTAGTAAGGAAGGCTTGTCAAAAAAAGGGGAAGTCGCGAAGAAATGGCTAATTCGATTGAATTCTTTAGTGATGAAAAAAGGGAGAAAAATAGGAACAAAGTTGGTCATTATCCAGTATTGTCAGCTTGCTGACCTTACGCTCGAGCGATATCGCCTATGATTGTTTTGAGTGTGACGCTCACTTCCGTCGAGTTAAGCTACGAGTTCCCGTCACTGCACACTTTCTCATTCTTCACATAAGCGAAGAACTTCCATACTTTTCCTTAGCGTTTCCACGATCTTTTAGCTCAAAGGCAAGAGCATAACAACGAAGTAAGACCGGTCAGTAGAAATTCGTCTCAGCGACGAATGTTTGGAAACCAGAAATATTAGAAGTTCAAGTCTCTAAATTAATCTCTCTAGGACCCTCTCACAGTCGCAACTGCACATTAGAAAACTCTCCGAGGATACTTTGTAGTGAAGAAAAGAAAATTAGAAAATTTGACGACTTTTACGGTTGTATAACCATTTCTTGACGAAAACAACTTTTTGATAGTTTACTGTATGGTGACTAGTATTGCGAGAATTTCTCTCTAGGGCAAGTTTATTAGAATTACCGTGTAGTGTCCCTAATATGTAAAAATACATCCAATTATTACCGCAATAAAACAGCTGATTAGCTGAAATCCAGGGCCTGGTTGTTCGTAGGCTGAATAACGCTATCCAGTAGACAGAGAGTTATCTGGAGGATAACGCTTTCTAGTCTTCTAATAACCGAAGACAGGTATTTCTATCCCATCGATATCTTCCAAAATATTAAGTTGGAATGTAAGTGTCGGATATTTTGTTTGTATTGGTAATCACATGATTTCGAGTGCAATTTGGAATAAATAAGCACGAGTAAATTTTTTAAAGACTAACAAAATTGCACGAGCCCGTAGGGCGAGTGCAATTTGTTGTCTTTGAAAAAATTAACAAGTGCTTGTTTATTCCAAATTGCACGAGAAAAATCATGTGATTACGTGTTAATAATATACATGGAAAAATACGAGATGGCTTATCATAATTAAACATAAGCAAAGCGCGCGCGTCAAGTGCAAAAATAATTTTTTCAAACCTTGGGTTCGGTCAAAACAACCGCGTACGATCAAAACAATAATAAATTATGTAATGATATCTTCACATTTTTAAGGAGCAAAAAAGGTCAAAGTCCGGCTAAACAGTTCAAGGAATTGTTCAGTCTGTGTCCGAATCACTTTCGATGAAATGGAATCGTCGTTTCCGAGGTTTAACCATGTTTGTTTTTAATTTCGGCGTGTGATCGCTCGAGCAAAGTGTTAAGCTGGTTCGGCTCGTAATTTTCGATTTCCTCGGCAATTCCCTTCTCTAAAGACCACTTTTTCCAAACTGACAACCAAAAAGCAGTGCTTTTTACAGTGTTTTCGTTGTTTAAGCTTTTTTTCAGCTGCGGTGACGAAAGAAAGCCAACTTGAAACACCGGCCATTGTTTCGCTCGCAAATTTTCAAATTTTGTTGCGACATCCAAGGCTCGCATTTGATTGGCTATCTGTGAGTTTCTTTGATTATTGACCAATCAGAATGTCTGATTTGTTTCTTTCTTTGCACTGAATTAACCCTCTTCTGGACTGAATTAACTCTCTTCTGCACTGAATTACCTGAAAACTGCATTTATCTTAACCAATCAGAACTAAATAATTTTTCCATGTATATTATTATACCGAAAATAGCATCGATTCCGTTGAGATCTAGTTTGAAACACTGATAACTTAAAAATTCCGTCAGATCGAATAACTTCCGGACCCTTCAGGTCATTTTTCAGTTACAACCCTCTCCTCTGTGATTTATAACAAATTAAAAGCACGGTGTTGTGATAATTTCAGATCTGTTGTTTCTTGGCCAAGAACGCAGAACTTAATTCTGACTATCACTTAGGGAACAGGTAAGTTCGGACGACCACTACAAATCGTATAATAAATTTGAATCCTCTTTATTCAGACTTTGACTTGAATCGCAATTGTACAGCTTGATTATTCGATCGAAGAAAGTCGAATCAACAATTGGTTCATAGGTGAGCGTGCGTTCATCGAGATATGAAGCACGCCGGAAGTTTGGAGAGCACGAAAGATGCGTAAGAGGTGCTCGAGGCGTAGGCGAGAGCAACTCTAGCTTCTTGAGTGCTCTCCAAACTTCCCAAGTGCTTCATATCTCGATGAACGCACAGCTGACGTATGAACCAATTACTATATAACATTTTCAACCTGATGGAAAATTTTTTTTCTTGAGGGATGTGTTTGCTGACGCCATGAGCGTGCACAATAGGAATACGAAGCACGCTCGCGCAATTAAATTTGATTACGGTTGATTCATACAGATGTAGTCTTATGTGACTAAGAAGCCATACTATAGATTAGCTAGCATGATCAAAGCAATCAAAACTTACTTCCGTGGCGGATCGTAATTCGCAGAATTAAAACTGGTTAAACTGCAACACGTTCGCGGTTCAAATAATTTTTTGGAATCAAGTTTCAATCATACTGAAAGGAGATCTTTGGTTTTCAAAATGGTGACGGCGATTTTATCAATAAACGAAACGAAAACCAGAAATCGGTTCCAGTTATCGTTATAATACAGATAACAAGCTATTTCTATCGCATTCCCGAAAATATCTAACTTGGGATTAAGTGTCGGCCGTTTTGTTTCCTCCCCAACAGAGCATCGATTCAGTTGACTTCTGGTAAAGAAACTCCGATAACTCGAAACTTCCGTTAAATCGAGGTTACTTTCATGTCCTTCCGGTGATTTTCTCTTTACCCTCAGTGATTTATAATAAAGAACAGCTTTGTGCTATTTTCAGATCTGCTGTTTCTGGTCTGAAATGCTTAGGTTGTTTCAGGTTGTCGATACGCTTTATTATTTTTTGCGCGAGAGAAAAACAACAACGAACATCTGCCTGTGTTCCGTGGCCTTTTACGGCTCTTAGCTTCGCAAATAAAAGCCGGAAATTGCCTCAGTTGACTCTCACTACCACGCAAATCTAAGAAAGGAGACGTTTTCGTGTCAGTGATCAGTTGGATAACGGCGACGTTTTGGCGCCTAATCTAATCCGTAATTGATTGCTATCCAAGGGTCGCTCAGCAGAAATTTACCTCGTACTTTTAGTTTTTTTTTATCCTTGCTAGTGCATCAAAGAAGTTTCGTCAATGTAGCTTACGTGGTTAGCGTGTTATTTCGGCCATTAATAAAAGCAATGAAGGCGGAAGGGAAATGTCAAACCAGGTCGGAAAGGCAGGTTTACTGATTTTGGCTCAAAATTTGTTTTTTGGCTTGGTTTGGGGTTCTAATTACGAAATGGATATGTTAAGATTGAAATTTACTTTGCGTGGGAAATGAAGGCACAACACTGACAGGCTGTCATATACTGTTTGCTGCAGAAAATTTAGGACTGGGCAATTTTAATGCGCTCCCACACTTCCCAGAAAGATATTGTAAGGTTCCTGGACGCAGTCTCTTTAGCTTGACGTTGTCCGGAGCATTTCGGTTCAGAACAGCGATTTCTTTCAAACTTTGCCCATGAATCTTTCTTTTAGTCTAAAAGTTTTCCGAATGAATGTTTTCCACACCAGCTCTCTTCTTTCTACATTGCTTTTGACCAAAAAGGTGCTTTTGTCACTTTCGATGGAAATTGGTACTCTATGCACCATCCGTTTCAGAAGTACTCTACCCTAAAGTGCAGATCCCAGAAGGGTGATTTGCGCCAAACAAACCTCGAACCCAGAGACTTTTCGGCTCTGCGCATTACGCATGCGTTGTGCTTCAGCACGCGGTGACGTGGATACGCCTGCAATGCAGCTGACCACCCATACTTAACGAAGCAGAGTGCTCCCAAGATTCATGCAAGTCTTGCGCACGCGCTGTGCTGAAACGTCGATGAACATGAGCAAGGTTGTGTAAATGTGAAGGTGGTGTAGTGCGCATGCTAAAATTAAAAATCTTGTCCATGCAGTCGCGCGCTGCCAAATTTTCTACACACGCACTACACGCACGGTACACGCACGCTTCGAGCTCCGCTATTAAATATACAAAACATTTATACAATTTTAGAGGCTCTATTATTTATGCAAAAAAATTAGCTCTAAATCATTAACTCTGTAAATTTTAAGATTTACCTTACTTTTAAAAAAGGTGAAAAGCCAAAATCAGCTGTCATGCATAGAAATCGAGAACGAATAATCTAGTTACAATTCACATCCAATTGTCATTCAAAACTTACTAACATAAAAGGCTTATATACACATATTTTATTTTGTTTACAACTACACACGGTTAGGCTTCTTAACAAAGTATGACAATTACATAGTCTGGTTTAAAAGCAAACATCAAAGGAATTTATTAGTCTCACAACATGCTCGTTTGCCAGGTTGAGAGAACCTCAATTAATTTTTGTCTTTTTGATTATCCACAAGAAATGAGATCTGTGTTAAATACGTATTTATAGAGGTCTTCAAAAAGAGGTTTGTTAAAGCATCGCTTACCAAAACAACGGCTTAAAAAGGATGAAATAAAAGAAAAGAAGCCATGGATGGCTTAAGAAATCACTGGGAAAGCTCTGATGGAGTTCATCAGCCGTTTGGCGCATGAAGTGGCTCGGGGTAATGATACTAACCTTAGTCATTATCAGTCTGACAATCAGAGGGCCGTGCACAAAGAATGAAATAAACCAGAACTTTTTAGCTCATTTGATAAGTGTAATGGTTTGTGGCCTTCGCGAGAGCCTCGTCCATTAAAGTCGAGATTTATCGGGATATGAAAGGTTTGCATTTAACTTTTTGTGTCATTTTTTAGTTAAAACGTGTTTTTTCCCGCTCCTTTTCTCATAACGCACAGGCCAAAAAACTCACATTCCTTGAATTAAAGTTCAAATCCTATCCCAAACAAGTCTAAATTTAGAGTATTTCGCAATATCATTGGGTTGAGTTTTTTTTGGAAAGATTTAAACAAGATTGTTCACCATGACTTGAGCTCAAACTCTATGAAAGTTCAAAGAAATAGTTTCATGTTCTGTTCATCTTGGTTATGTTTAGTTTATCACTGAGCTGTGTTGCTTCTCATGTGCCGTATATTCTTGAAGATCTGCTTTTGGAAGTATCTTGAGATTCTATGAAAAAATATTCACGAATCGCAATTTTTTGCTTTAAATCACATCTTTTTCCCAGCCAATGAGGAGGCTACACTTAAAACAAAACGACCAATCAGATTTCAGAGCTTGTTTAAAGAGAATGAAAGAGAAAGAGTGTCATGTGGCAATTTTGCAACTTTTGTTTCCAAAACTCTTATATTTCCCCTCCTCCCCCCCCCCAAAAATTGGATGAATTTAATTTCAAACTGGCTTAGTAATGCATCAATAAAATATTTGAACTGACCAAGTCTTGTATTTAGGCGATTTCGAAATGGATATAATAAAGTGGTAATTGAACCTCGTGTCATGCAATTTCGGTCTGAACTCATATTTGGGATTTCAGCCCAAACTGCACTCCACTCAGTTCAATTACCATTATAAATTTGAAAAAAGGGAAATTCGAGTTCACTGGGAGATCGAGTAAACCGAGTTCGTATCAGCTGATAATAAATGCTGCCGGGACTGAAATGGAATCAAATCACAGGCAGCCCAAGCTCCAGCTGTGAGATTATCATTTTGCAAAATAAGAATCATGGCGAAAATATAAGAGTTTGTACGGGAATGTTTACGACCGCCCTTAGGAAGAAAAAAAAATATCGTCAAATTCTCAATAGAAACACCTCACCTTACTTTCACAGTGCATCGCTTGATGTCTGACCTCTTAGTTGAAACGAGGCCATTTTAGCGAGTTATCCATTTCTAGATTTACTATTCCTTCTCTTAGGAGCAAATTTTTTCATAATGACTGGTCTCTAAAGGGAAATAAAGTTATTTTTTGTTGACTTGTTATGATTAATTTGTTGTCTGTTTAAGTTTGCAAAAAGGCGGTTGAAAGGCATAGGACATTCCCTTTTTTATCTCGTACCCACAGCTTCCACGGCCAAGCGGTTGTAAGGAACTTACATTTCAGTTTCACGGTAGGATTTAGGTAACGAGATTACTGTTGCTATGGATTCACAAGCGAATTGAAGACATGCACAGACTTTCTTTAGCTCTGTTGGGCGAGATGCTTCCCTCTCAAGGTGTCAGCTAAGGAGTGGGAATGAGTATCGCCAGTCTCCGTAGAAGACGTTTGAATTGGATATACAAGCGCTATGAGAGACGAATGAGATTTAAGACCTGAAAGTTTGTAGTAACTGTTGAATCACACGGGATTAACCACCTGCGACGAACCGAGTATTCTCCCCTGGTCGCTTTATCTGTGTTATAAAACTGAGACAAGCTGCGGCGCAGTGAGCCCCTTAGCTCGGGAAAAGAGATTATTTTGTTTGATTGCAAAATCGTTTTGACTCCTCCCTTCCCCACCCGATCCCCCAACCCCAAGTAAGGCCATTATCCCTATTAACACTCCTCCACCCTCTCTGATTTTCACGTCAAAAAAGATATGTGTTCCATGCCCATTCCTTTCCTTAATCGGTGTAAGCTAAGCCCCAGTCTCCCGACGGTTCATTGGGTTGCCACGATCCACTCCCATCATGCCACACGAACAAAAAGTTCATTTCTCGATGCGTACGCACTTGGCGGCCATATTTGTTCGTTATTGTTTAGTGATGAATTGAAGATCGTCTCGATTTTTGTATATGAAAATAATTTGTGAAGGTTTCCTCTCATGACTTGTCACGAGGTAAGTAACACATCTCACGGTTATTTCACATATAGCTTTCGAAGGTCACGGTTTGGCTGTCTACAGCTAAAAATTCTCCCGTCTCTTTACTTTTCTGGCAATGTTGATGTCGTGTCACAGTGCTCACCTGTTTCGTATACGAATGTTGTATGTAAATTTTCGTTCCTTATTAGATCATCAGTTTTATTTTCAAAAGGTACGAATCCCAGATTCCAGCATTTTCTAATTACAGACAATTTACTATTTTGGCCTTAAATCGTTGCCGGCCAGGAATAAATCTGTTTGAGGTCAACGCGGATATGTTCAGATTACTACGGATCTGATCATGAAAACTTGAATCAATTTTAATTTTATTCGTTTGTATGTAAGGAAAGAAAGTGACCAAGCAGAAATATTTGTAACACATCTCGAACAACGGTTGTTCTTGCGTTATGTTTTGATTTGAATCCAGTGAAAATAAGCGCCTAAAGAACTTTGTATATAAAGCGATCAGCGAGCGGCTAAGGTTTATAAAGAAACACGTACATCTAAATATTTTATATCTTTTGATTTAAACCACGTTCCGCGTGACTTTGGTCCACGAGCTTGAATCATGAGCTAAATCGACTTTTCTTTGGCTGTTGAGGTATATACATGTAATTTCTTGAAAGAAAGGGTTATTTCTCTCTACCCTTGAAAAGTTTCTTCGTCTTGAGAAAATATAATTGAATTTTGAAAGAAAAACGTTTACAGTTATTGTCCAGTTTTATTGGAAAGAGCAACAGAAACCTTTTGTCTAGGAAAGGTTTTGAATTGTTAATTTTCTCCAATGTTAGATTTGTCTGTGGATTTCATCTCAAGCCTAAACATTTGAAAGAGGGAAAGTAACATATTCTTGAAGCATATTCAGCAATTACATTTTAATTGGAGTCAAAGGAAACCAATGACAACGTTATGAAAAAAATATTTTTTTTTACAAATTATAACCTCTCCTGTATGATATTCACTTAACTGATTTGTTTTAACACACTGGTTTTGGTGTGATTCCTTTTATTTTTGGATTTTAGCAAAAGGGTTCATCATGATAATACATGAAATTAGGAGATCCTCGCAGCTAAGAACACTACTGAAACGAGTAGTTGTAAATAGGACCTGAAAAAAATTTCAGGCCCGTACGGGATTTGAACCCATGACCTCTGCAATACCGGTGCAGCGCTCTACCAATTGAGCTAACAAGCCAACTGGGAGCTGGTCCATGAATTGGGTCCAAATAAACATCCAAGTGAATGAGTGCAAATATGGGAATTTTCATATATCTAAAATCTTCATGATAATACATGTTGGGGAAGAGCCCTGATAAACTGTATGGGAAACATATGAATAAAGGGGGTTAGTTTGTATAGAAACTGTGGTGCTGCATCAGCATGAATGGCATTTGGTATTTTTCTTTTTGGTATTCATTTTTTTCCTCCATTTCAACTGATTAGAGTCTAATGAATAATTACAAGTAAGATAAGAGGATGGAGAAGGGCATAATATAGCAAGCTAATTAGATGCCCTTTAACTTAAATTACATTTTTTCATACAGTAAAAAGAAGTGATACAATAAGATATGAGATACAAATATAAGATACAAATGTAAGAGAGGGAATAGGAATCACACCTTAAACAACAAATATATAAATAAAACATGGTCAGAGGAAGACATTAATCAGTACTGAGAAAAGTGCTCTTTTAAAAAGTTTTTTAGTGGGCTCCTCCTGTATAGATATAGGAATATCATTCCAATTGTAGCACCTTATAACTGTTGGAAAGAATTTCTTTATATATTTATTCTGAAGGGGCTAGGATTCAGGTGTTACAGAGATGTATTTCTAGTGGCATACAATCATGGATCTCAGATACAAAAGAAAGTGCAAAATTAGAATATTTTTGTCTACAATATGATTGTAGAATAGTTGACACATACTCAATTTAATTATGTCAGGAAGTCTAATTAGGCCAAGGCCTACTAAATGGGGAGTAACATGGTCAGGAGTTGGTACAGTGTTGATGATTCTTATAGCTTTGTTTTGTAGCTTTACCAACTGAGACAATGGAGCTTCGTAATTATTACCCTATAATATGCAGCTGTATGTTAAATGAGGATGTACAAGTGCCTAGTATACACTTACATGAGATTGGACTGTTACTATGTCATTTCAGTTTTGTGATTATGTTTAGACTTTTGCTAATTTTACTGCTAATATAATCAATATGATCATGCCACGACAGAAAGGAATCGATAACTCATCCTAAGTATTTAACAGTGTGAGACGGTTCAAGGTATTGATTGGCTAATTTAAGGGGGGGAATATATATGAATATGGGGGAATATGTGTTACTTGACATCAAACTAATACAGCAAATTCCATGTTTTTTTTAAAAATTTTATTTGTATAGATTCACAGAAAGGGAGATATATTAGCCTTTGTTAAATTGGGAACTGAGTGAAAGCTTCTCCACCATCATGAACAGTTCTTATCAGAAGGTGTCACAAGACCCTGATGAAAGGTAAGTGCTGTCATCATTGTATCTATTATTACAACTTCAAATTCTCCTCTAAGTGATGAACATTGATATTATACGTAGTACAAACAAATCAACCAAAATATCTCTATCATAATGCACTTGATTAGTATGCTAGGCAAGATTAGTCAGATTAGAACAAAACCTCTTTAACATATACAACTTTTTTGTGTTTGTCTTCTCTCAGAAAATATCAACAATTATTCTTAACCATTGAACTGCCATGAGTGACCAAGAGAGAAGTTCTCCTCACAATTTTGTTACAAAGTCGAACAGACAAGGGATGAGAATAGCAAAAATATCAATTAGGGGATTATTACCAAATTCTCCAAACTAACATCATAAGAATTGTATAGCAGACAGTAAGGAGAATTACTTTTGAGATCTTGGAGTGAAAAAGAAGACTTTGCTTTAGAACTTCTACAGTGGCTGAGGAACAAATTTAAAGGGATTTGTTTTGTCTTCTCATAAATCAGGCATTTGAAGCTGATTGCTGATTGCAGATTACAGGATTCACTACCCTGCCCTCTTAAAAAATAAAAAGTCTAAATTGTTATATTTCATCAGCTGTACATGTAGTTCAATATTTACTTGTTGTCATATAAAGACAATTTTTACTGAGCAAGTTTAGGTTTTAACCCTTAAAATCCCAGAAGTGATTAACATGTAACTTCTCCCTATAATATCCATACATTATCTAGCAAACAGGTAGTGAGAATTCTCAAACTCATTTGGTACAAGATATTACCTGGATTGAACACCAAATTCCCGTAACCAATTTACAAGGAAATGTGTAGCAGCTAGAGGGGAGAATTAACAATCAGATCTTGGGAGTTAAAAGGTTAATCTATTAGTCTCTTATTAACCTAGGATACACGAAACATAGTGGTTGTAATATTAAATGGGGCTTAACATAAAAACTCCAATTGGAATAATAGTGAGGACTGAAATGCACCAACGACCACATGCCATAATACACCAGTAACAACAAACCAAGGTTCTATAATTGACAACATGTAAACTTTCAACCTCATAGTTTGACAAAGACTAGCAATATATAGTGTAGCAGTTGTAAGCAACACCCAATTGATTAGCCTGGCCCTTACATTATGAGGCAAATAATTTAACATTCATTTATTTATAAAACCATGATGAAGAAGAGCATTTCTATAATATTTACACTAAGTTATGCAGTTCCAAGGGCTAAGAGTTCAGAATGTTAAATTATTACTTTTACTACTTTAGTGATGATCGTCACAGATCATACCAGCCGTATCATGATGATGAGGAAGGCTACGAAGGAAATTATGGCTATAACTATGGATACAACCCTTATCGCCCTCCAGCTGGTGGGCTCAAAGGAAAGGTGGAACAGAAATATTGGCACACCAAACAAACCATGATACAAAAACTGGGAAAGGAGCAGGATTGTTATGTCGTGGCTGGGGATGCTGAGGTTGATGCACGGCTGGAGGTAAAGAGAAAGATTCTTATCATGTCTGCTTGGAGACTCAAGTTAGAAGCAATGTTGTCATAATCTTATAGCATTTTGCCATTCTATGAAAACAGTTCCACATGGTTGTTTTATCTTCAGGGTTTTCAATACACGTCGGAGCTGCAATCTGGTGAAATTTGCCATATATGTCAAGTGAAATTGCTGTCTTACTTTGTCTGTTCTGAGCCATTTTGATTTATTTTATAGAGATCAGCCAAATCTGAATTAAGTTTAAAAGCTACTTTAATTAAACTTATACATGATTGTCCATGGATGCTTTTTTTTTCAATATTCAACGGTTAAGGATTGATATGCAGTTTCTTTCACTTGCAAACAGTTAATGGTTATGCTTCATTGTTATAGGCATTTCGGCATATTCAGAAGACATGCATAGACATACTGAAGGCAGTAGAAGTCTATCAAAATAGGATATTTGGTAAGAATGTGGTTGTCATTTCTTACATCATGTACATGTAGAATTAGATGTCCATGTGACTTCCTAAATGTACTATATAACTTATGTTATACAAGTTCTTTTAGCAATTTTCAATTCATTGTTGAATTGTTGTTGTTACTTTGCTATGTGATTGGTCCAAAAAACTCAAATGAACTGCAATTCACTTAAAATACCCTCTTCCTCCTGCAATATTCTAGAATTATGGAAAAATAAATGTGACATACAAGGGGAAAGGCGTAAAATTAAGGGTGCAATGATATTGTAGTGTTATTCCAGAATGTATTTCTTACAAGACCTTTTGGTGTGTAGTATTGCTGGGTATTTTCACAAGTTGTGCTGTATAGTGAGTAATAAAAGCACTCTGAAATACTACACACCAAAATGTGTAATACTTTATTTGTTATCCATACTGCTTTATTCTATATTCATTTATTATAAGTTGGGAAAAGTGAAGCAGATAGAGAAGCAGGTTGTGACAGATCTTGGGCAACACCTATGTTAAAGTATGGTACAAAATAACCAACTTTCCAATAACTGCACAATATTGGGAGACTTTTGTACTCAATATGGTTGTCATTTGCACCTTACTTAGTGCAGTTGGATAATAAACGAAGATGAAATATCCCCTTCCCCATGCAGTGTTCTATAGTCACAGAAAGCAAAATGAGTTGGGAGAGATGGTAAAAGTAAAAGTGTAATAAAATTGGTGCGCTATTCCAAAATACTGTCTTCTCAGTAATGTCTTCTTGATGGTTATGTGTCAACAATTTTGTTACTAATTGTGGATAATGTAAGTGTAAATCACTTCTGAAAATTACAAACCTCCAACTAATTTCTTTTAATGTAAGGTACTGTACAAGAGAAGATAAATGGGGGCTCAGAAAGATGAGGTTTACATGTGAGGTTCTTTTTTATTTCCATTACAGCTTTGTCTCAAGATGAAAATGAAATGGGACGGTTTCTGCGAGAGCAGGGTTCTCAGGATAAATCAAAAGCTGGAAAAATGATGATTGCTGTTGGCAAGGCTCAGAGTTACTCTGCACAGCAACGGTATACTACTTTCAATTATTCAGTTTATTAGAAGGGTCCTAAATAAATGATTTTGTTCTTGTTACAATTGATTAATTGTACATGACTGTGTGTCTGTGAAAGCTTTTAAGAACTGGGTACCTAAGATTTCTGATACAAGTGCACTCAGGGATTTTTCTCATAGCACAAATTTGATGTACATGCTCTTACAGTATGTATTAACTCCTTCACTCCCAAGATCTCTTTTGCCATTCTCCTTACTATCTGCCATACAGTTCTTGTGATGTCAGTTTTGAGAAGTTGGTATTGGATCAACTAATAATCACCTAACTGATATTTTTCATTATTCTCATCACTTGTCTGCTTGTTATTATGTTGATATCATATGGAGAAATTCTATCTTGGTCACTTATGGGAGTTAAAGGGTTAATGAACTTTTTAATTTGGACAGGCTTAGTCTTAGAACTCCGCTTGTGAGGCTTTACCAAGAAGTGGAGACATTCCGTTTCCGTGCAATCTCTGACACTTTCCAGACTGTAAATCGAATGGAACTGGCCAGAACAGACTACAGAGCTGGGCTCTTGTGGATGGCAAACATTTCTAAAGAGTTAGATCCTGAAGAATACAAAAGATTAGACAAGTTTAGAGAGGTCAGTGGTTGTATGTTGGAAAACCTTATTACTCATAACAGACACTGGTAAAGGCCTCAAAATACAAGCAACCTGAATAAATTGTAATTCTTTAATGCAACTTTCCACATAGCATAGCAGTTCAAGATGAAAATAAACAAATCTGCTTGCCCTTCAGCAATTTTTCATGTGGTAAATGTTAGAATTTTACACCGGTATCATAAGCTGCAGCTTTTCCATTGAACAGTATTATGCGCAATAAATTATATCATCCACATTATCAAGAAGTTAATGCTACTTAATGCTGACAAAATATCAAATGATTCAAAATGTTATTTACAATAAATTGAAGGTTTTAATACCAATATTTCAGCTTAGTTCAAATGAAAGATTTTTCTCAGCTGAGCAGTAGACTGAAATAATATCAGCTGGAAAGGGTGGGATGGGGGAGGTGTGTGGAGGGTGACAGAGATTCAATTTTTTATGGCAACAATTTTACAATTGAATTTTAAAAAATTGAAGTAGGAGCCCTGCAATTTCATGCAATTACTTGGTGATGTGTACAACATAATTTTTTGGGCAACCAACCAGAACCTGCAATTTCCATATAGTCAAGGGAAAAGAAGACTTCAAGCAGTACATGTAGGCTGATTTCCATGTATTGTAGTGAGAAATTAAATTTTGAAACTATTATTTTCTTTCAGGTTCAAGGCCAAGTCAGGAAGGGTAAAAAGAAATTTGAAAAGCTGAAAGTAGATGTTATGCAAAAGATAGACTTGCTGTCTGCAAGTAGATGTAACTTACTTTCAAGCACACTTGCTGCATACCAGCAAGCGTTGCTTAAGTTTTGGGAAAACACTTCTCGCACTATGATACAAGTATCAGAACAGTTTAAGGGGTTACCGGCATATCAGTTTCAAATGCTGAAAAGCCTTAATCCTCTGACTCTGGAAGGTGATGACAAGGAGAAGGGAGAAGAAGGAAAGGAAACCAAACCTGTCAGAGAATCTGAAGATGACAAAAAAGAATCAACTGCCTGTGGAGAAAAGAAAGAAGCTTCAAAAGAAGATGATGATGATCAATTAATTTCTCTGGATCATTCACCACTAGAAGAGAAAAAGACAGCTGAGGATGAGAACAAAAAGGCTGATAATGATGATGACGAAGCACTCTTAGAAACAGATTTATTGGGAGATGATGAAGTGTCCAATGGTAATGTGGATGAAAAATATGAAACGCCTTTCATTGATTTGCTTGGTGATGATGCTTTGATGCCATCAAACCACAGATCAGGTTAGTAGTGCACTGTCACATGCCTACAAGTGCGTGGGCTGTAGATCTCTGGGTTCAAACAGGGGGGGGGAGGTTTCACTCCAACCACACTTTTGAACTTAGCAGGCCATGCAATGAAATACAGCCTGCCAAATTGACCAATTATAGTGCACATACTTACCAAGGGATGTGTGTGTAGTTATTTATTTTCTTGTTGTGCTACTGATATTTGTCTTTTTAAAATTTAATGATGAGAGTCCCAACTATGAACTGATTCAATTGTAACAAGTCTCAAACACTTCTTCATTGTACCTTTTGTTTGTTAGGGACCAGTGATCTTCTGTCATCATTTGAGGATCATCCAAGTAGTAATGGACTTACAAGTCATCGCTCGATTATGCCACCCAGCTATGAAGAGGCAAAGCAAATTCCTGTGCCTGGTATGGGATTGATAAGTAATTATCCTGTAACTCTCCAAGAGTGACTAGCACCTTTATGTTATTTGTAATTACAATATCACACCTAAATTAAACATAAAGCTCACAAGAATAAACAAAATGATCCCCAACCAAGAGGCTCTTGATTGTTTAAAAAGATGTTCCTTATGGCTGAACCATATTTTCAAAATAATTACTTCTATGTAGAGAGTATCTGTTCTTAACCCTTTCACTCCCACAAGTGACCAAGACAGAATTTCTCCTTACAATATCAATACAATATCAAGCAGGCAGGTGATGAGAATAGAAAAGAATATCAATCATGGGATTATTAGTTGATCCAATACCAAATTCTCTGAACTAACATCATAAGAATTGTATGGCAGATAGTAAGGAGACTTACTAATTAGATCTTGGGAGTGAAATGTTTAATATGAGTGTAGTGAGATTTTTCTCTTTCTTTGTGTCCAGGAAGTGAAAATGCATCATCAATGACGGCTGATGATCTGCTGTTTGGTTCCCCTACCAAGGAAGACAGAGCACCTGGAAACAAGTCAGATATTGATATCTTAAGTGAAATTCTTGGCTCCAATGGTTCCTCCATGCAAGGTGTCGAGAGTGAGAATAGCTTCAGCAAAACGTGGAAGGATATGTTCGGGGATGAGCCAGTTGAGACTGCTCAGCCATCTTTGCAGGAACCCAATCAATCATGGTCCCAAGGGGGTTCCAACTTTATGATGCCCTCTGACCTCCTTAACAGCATGGCTAGGTTTGATCCATTTGGCGAGGTACCAAGAGGCAACCCTCCCCAGCAAGCAGCAGGTGCGGCTTCAAAGATGTCAGCTCCAATGCAGGGAGGCAAGCGTCAAGAGGGTAATCAAGGTTCACAGGCAAAACAGGCTTCATTACTCGCAGGAAAAGCAAGTGACAAAGGGAAAGGAAAGGGGAAAAAAGGTTCTGACATGTCTGCTTGGTTCAGTTTGTTCTCTGACTTGGATCCCCTAGCCAATCCTGATGCAATTGATAAACAAAACAAAAAGAGTGAAGAAGACAGACAATGTTAAGTACATGTAATTGAAATCACAGAATTTATTTATGGTGAATTGTATAATGGCTGACACAAAGCCAGCTTGGAACTTCAAAACCAAGGTTATGGAAGGTTGAAATCAGATTGAAATCAATTGGGGTGGGGTTAATTTTTTGGTTACATGTACTGTCCATGAATAATAATGATAAAAAAAAACAGCAACAACAACAAGAAAGATCATTTCATCTCAACAGATGGTTTTAAAATGAATATGTGCAAATATTTTGCAAGCAGAAACAAAATAGCTGTGTATATCTCTTAAAACCCTGAAATAACAGATTCTTGATTCTTCTTTTAGGACTAAATAAAATGTTTTGCTAATTTGGCTTGTAATTTTGAATTAAAATTGGCCAAATATTTTCAAAGTTTTGCTCATTTTCTTCACAAAGTCATTGTCTGCTAAAGAAATGGTCAAAGGTTCTTTCAAAATTATAGACCACTGCTAGAGTTGTTTTTGATTTTGATAGCTGGTGAATAAATACTAGCATGCTGGGATTTTCCATAAGGGACAGTAGAAGAAGAAAAAAGGCAAATTTAAGCCTCTTTTAAGTTATTGTTTAAGCGTTATAATATTGTATATTTAAGTTTTCTAAGTGTTTGTTGGGTGTATATATTACAGTCACAATTACATTCTTTGTGTATGAAGACATACACTGTAAGGGAGCAAATGATGGGCTTCAGTACTTTTTTCTTTCTTTCTTTCTGAATAACATGAGCAAGTTGTAAACATTGTGTAGACCTCACCTTCATGTCAACTGCCTGATTTATCAGTGTAGATGCGTGTCTTAGGGATGTCAGTATGATAATACTGCTTGTTGTTTGAAATCTTTACACCATAAAACATGTCGGAGAGTAGGGCTATGAAATTACAATAGGAGCAAAGTTATGGAAGGTTAAGACTAGGTTACATGCCTTGTGACATTATTGAAAATAAAGTCATGTTTTACTTGAGTATGCACTGTAAGTTATTGTTTTCAAGCCATCTGGTGAGCAAGCAACAATTTCACCCTTTAACTCCCAGAAGTGATTAACATGTAGCTTCTCCCTATAATATCCATACATTATCCAGCAAACAGGTAATGAGAATACTCAGACTCATCAGGTCTATCTGATCAAACACCAAGTTCTCATAACTAATTTACAAGGAAATGTGTAGCAGCTAGAGGGGGGAATTAACAACTAGATCGTAGGAGTTAAAGTGTCAAGGGAGAGTCAAGAATACGAGAACGTAAACTTAAAATTGTGATTGGGAAAATGTCAAAAGATTTAGGAGCACACAAACTTTTAAGAAAGTTTGTGACATGTCAAATTATACTGAAAGTCCGAGTTGATTACTACAATACTTTGCACATCGAGAGAATGGCGACTGCAGTGTTACAGGGAGGTACTTCATCAGTTATTTTCAGTTTTATAAGCATGGTGAAGATTTAGAATCATGAAATTAATTACTGTTGACTTTATCAATAAGTACGTTCAGTGTGGATCTTAAAAATACCCCATACTAGATTGCAAAATTAATAAGTTGATGGTGACCTGAAAGTCATTTTACAGAAATGATGATAACCAAAAAATAATTTTCTTATGATTTTCTGATAGTTGTAAAAAGACTACTTCCTTTTTGTTATATCATGTTTAACTACTTCTTGGTTTACTGAAGTGACAAGCATTTTGTCAAAAGAAAGTTCAGTCAAACTAAATACTAAAGCAGATGGGTCTGGATTCTTTATTAACTAAAATTTTAGATAACAATGGAGTTCAGAGAGCAATCAGTATTTCTGTGAAATAAAAATCACTCAATATACGATTCTCATATATTCATATTTATTAAATATTCCTAAGTTGTAAAAAGTAGTGGTGTCTGATTAAACAAAAGAAAACAATGTAATTAACACAAAATTGTGTAATTTAGCATTACTATTTCACACATATTGTTTGCGCTCTACTTTTCACTGTCTTACCCACCTTGGAAAATGGATCATATATAAAATGTACCTGAAACTACTGACCCCCCCTAAAAACTACTTTATAAAAAGTTAAATAGCCCCCCTCTCCCCCCTCCCCCCTCTGGCCAATCGAAAATAGCCTTGACTCCCCCTTTTTTCCCTTCCCACTCAACATAAATTACGACTGTTCCCTTAAAACATGTACAGTAAAATTCGTATTTCAAGCCTTGTCGTAAAAGTAATGCATTGTTTTTGTAAATGCAAAATATCTTAAATATCAAGCAAGCTTAAGGACTATCCTCTTTCCTTTTCAAGGTCGTGACTTTTCAATTATCATAAATGCATTCCATATCACACCCATATAATCCTCAGGAGAAAGCAAAAATTGTTCCTCAAGACGATAGAAAAATTCGTCCAGAATCGAATTTTTCTCCTCTGCAGAATGATGGTCACTGAGTGCTGTAGGAAAGAAAAAACGAAGTGAAATTTATTGCCATTCACAAGTACCTATATATGCATGCATTCGTTCCCAGGACTCACCATTTCCCAATTTTCAAGCTAAAAGCCCTGGGAACGAGGTTGTCACAAAGAAGCAAATATGTGCTCATCAGCGAGTACTTTTAAATTTCATTTTAGAGGAACTTTGAGCAATTGTTAGATATTCTGGGCATGGTTTGGTACAATGTTTTAGTACTTTTCTTTAAATAGGAAAGGTTTAACTAACTGACTCAAGTTGGAAGTTGATATCTGACGGGGATAAGAATGTACAAATCTAAAACAGTGGATAGCGTTAAAGGTGCACTCTGATTGGCTACTCCAACTCCGAATATCCTCTGCTATTCACCTCTGAGCAATGCAGGCGGAATTTGCGCCCTAAAACATTGTAATTGTTGCAGGAATAAACGAGTCAAAATCACCTCTTCGTGCTATATTATCTCACTGTTTTAGTATACACTCAATTGCAGAAACGTTGACACTTAAAAAGCGTTTACAATGAACGTTAAGAACCTTCGGCTCTTTGGATACACATGTATGATAAACACAATTAGCGCGTGGTGAATGATGAAAGCTATCCACGCTTTGCTGGAAGAAAAGGATAATCATATAGGTTTTTCATTGTTTTTCTAAAGTGAATCACTGATTATGTGGCTGCTCGAATATTCCCATAAAAGCCATTGGGTCTCGTCTTCATGGATCATTCCTTTTAGGTGTTAAAGTTTTTGAAATTGGGTGTATATTGAAACAACTTTTCACCTTGGTGTCGGTAGCTCGCGGTGGATATTTAACGCGCCGCTTCGCAACGAGGGTAATATCCGCCACTAGTCTCGTGCCCGGACTTTCCACGGCCATGCGGTGGTAAGTTCCTACATTTCGGTTGCATGGAAGGATCTAGGTCCGAGCAATCTCCACTTCGGTGAATAGTCGTTGAATGTTGAGTATTTATAACAGTTTACTCACCCGACTGAAAGAAGGAATTGCTCCAAGCCCTGGTTTGTTCAGTCATCAGTCTCGCACATGCTTTAGCGTTTCCAGTAATTTTCCACATGGCTTTCTCTGGTAAAGGAAACTCTTTCAATTCCATGGAGACAAGATTAAGACCAGCGTTTCTAACCGGCGATGTGTCTGATAGGAACGGCTTCACTAGTTCTTCACGAGTTCGGAAATATTCAGGGATGGTCATTTCTTCCATATCTTTCTGTGGTGTAAAGAGAAATGGCACTTCAGAAGAATACATATGACCTTATTTCGAGAATACCCCTAGCCCTTTCACTCTTGGGAACTCATTAGCTGTTTTCCTAGCGTTTGTTTTACAAATCTTATGATGTTAGCTCGCAGAACTTGGCATTGGATCAACTAACAATTCCCTTACGGATAGTTTTCTTTATTCTCAACACTTGTCTGCTTGATTTTGTATTGAAACTATAAAGAGAAATTCTGTCTTGGTCACTCATGGGAGTTAAAGGGTTAACGAACCTTTTATTGCGCAGGTTCAAAGTCATTGTCTTTTCCAGAAGAACCCTTGTGATCGTTTAAATCAGCGGAGCATAGTTTGAAACGATAGGATATGGGTAATTTTATAAATCATTCATGAATCAAACTTCAATTCAGTCTAAGGGGGATAATTTCATGAAGAAACTGTGGTGCTACGTCGGTAGGGTGTCCAACAAGATAATTTGGTTTATCAACTGAGTTAATAAAATAAAGTGGCCTCTGTAAACAATTTCTAAAGCTAACGTTTCGAGAATTAGCCCTTCGTTGATCGCTTTGACGAAGGATTAACGCCCAAAACGTCAGCTTTAAAAACTCTCTACGGAGGCCAATTTACAGCATCAACTCAGTTGATAAAACCTCATCATTTAATTAAGTATGTGTATTTAAAAAAAATTATTAGAGGTGCTCGAGGAAAATTGTTGAAAAGTCTGGCTCACATTAATTAAAGATAAAACTTAATGAAAAATTTCACTTAACCTTTGAAATGATCTTGTCTTTTTCCATGCTTTCCCAAACGTTGTACAGTAACTTGTAGATAACAAGAGCTGGGACGCTACCTTCGGTTTCTTTCCCATGTGTACAGGCTATAATCAGTGCCAGCCTACCGCCTTAAACCAAATATAGAACATAATTAGAGTAAATAACGATGATGCAATTTATGGCGTATCCTCAGTGTGCAAAGAGGGAGAGCGGAGCACCCTAAATAAGGAATATGGAGAAACATTGGCGGAGAAAATTCTACTGCCACGTGATGACCGCACGCCAGTACCGCCTCTCTGAGAGGTACTTTCGTGAGTGTTACACCACATATTTCTACACTATACGAGATTGATAAAGCACCAGGGAAAAACCTTAACGACATATTTTTTTGTCTATCTTGGTAAACGGCCGAAGCAATGAACGTAAATTTATTAAGTGACAAGTGCGAAGTGAGATCCGACTTGTGAAACTAAATTTTATCTTTCTGTGACTGATTTTGACTCAATAAACATGGATGTTTTTTTTAGAGTCGGTGTAAACATGTTTCTCACCTTTGGCAAGTTCTTTTGCTCTCATCAACAAGAACTGTTCCCAGTCCTTCTCAGCCTGTTTGGCAAACATATTTCTCTCTTCTGGGACTTCGGAGAAGCAATGCAGTATCGCCCTAGTAAAATTACAGGGTTTTTTCCTCAGCCACTGAATGGCCAGACAGGAAAAGCCCAAGTTTACGGAATCGCTGGGGAAACATTGCTCGTAAAAACTGGTTCCTGTTGCAGATACGAAGACATTTGGGAAATCACTAAGATAGCTGGATGAAAGTGGCAGCAAACCTGGAACGAAAGTGTACAGACGCAGTTTTAACTGAGGATGAAAATGACTAGGGGTTGCTTTATTGCAGCATTCAAATACAAGAATGAACTCGAAGCAAGTGTCCATGACTCTGATAGGTTTTCGGTAAGAGTACTTGACAGTAAAGGCTGTTACGAATTGCATGTATTAAAAAATCAAGGTATAACCCATCCTTCCCTTTTTTTTTCCTTTTCTTTTTTTTCGTTTGATTATAAACAATCGCTTGGTCATGTTATATCTGTATCCCACTTTCCCTCACGCACAACACCCCGAGCTCAGTAGGAAAAGGAGAGGCCCTGAGAACGAGGTTTTTGATCGAATTAATAAGATTTGAAACCTTAATGGATTGAGCTGAAATTTGGTCTGAAGCCTCTCAAGATATCAATATCTAAAAACCTTTTTTGTTCTTACCACATTTTGACGTCATCTGTGATATATTACTGAACAGACGCACGGCAACTTAGAATCTATTTGTTAAATAGTTGATGGCGGTTGCGCTTCAAATAGCGCGGTAACAATTTTTTTTAGCGAAGAACACCTGGGAAGGTCTACCGCGTCCTTAAAACATCGTCAACATACACGATGAATAGCAATTCGTTATTTTCACTATCATATGTTTTTTTTTCACCTTGCACATAGTAAAAGACTGAGTTGTAGTCATTTTCTGGTCTGTCTTCATAATTTATGTGA